TATATTGTAGTGTTTTAAAAATCAATCTGAACATTGCTCAAAAAAAGTAAACAAGCGAATCGGTTTATTCTGAAGTATAGAATCTAACATTTAACTCTTACATGTAATTGGACAAAAATTAAACCTATTTGTTATTTTGCTTATTTTGTCAATTCAATATAATTCTTGTAATTAGGTAGACATATTGATCCCACAAAATTGGCACCAAACGTCAACTTGCTAAAATAAAAACTAATTTAAAATGGAAAGTTCCTAAAGACTTTCAACAAGAGTTCTACGACCAATGAAATCATTGAAATGTGAAGGGTATTTAATAATTCTTTTCTTTCTAGAAAGTACTAGGTCTTATGACACTTTCCCCGCGCCAAAATCCTAGGTTACAATTAAAGGTTGACAAAATGTATCTGTTATTTCGATTTATCGAGAATCATGTATGATTATTGATTTATTTTATGTATGAGAACTAAGTTCATGTTTGGTCCACATTAAATTTTAATTCATTTTTCTTTCTCATATTATCAACTACACATTCTCTCAATAAAATAATATTAAGAGCTTGTTTGGGAGGGATTTTTGAAGAAAGAATTGATTTTGAATAGTGATATGATGGAATTGTGTGGTTGAAAAAGAAAAAAAAATTATTGATGTGATGGAAAATATTATTTTATTGAAGAATGTGTGGTTGAAAATGAGAATTGATTTACTGTAGAAAAATTAAAATCCCCCCCCCCCAACAGGGCCTAAACATAAACCCAAAAATTCTCCTCATTTTTTAATCATACATTCTTCAAAAACACCAATTAAAAATCAATTTTTTTTTTTTTTACAAATAATGAAGCTCCAATAAGGGCCCTAATGTTCCAAAAGGTTGCTTCTAGTCCACATATTCAAATAAACCAAACGATACCTAACCTTTTTTTTTTTTTGCTAATTCAGATATGTTTAAAGTGAAGATTCAATTAAAATTAACTTTACATTTTTTTAACTTGTCGTTTTTCAATGTGCATAATTGTGAAGACACAATAGTCGGTTTTTTTTTTTTTTTTGCTAATTCAGATATGTGCATAATTCGTTTTTCAATTTAATAGTAGCTGCAATGATGATGCCAGTTTGGTTACTTTTTCTCTATTTATTCTTCACACATTACATGAAAAGTGGCTCACCCGCGATGTGCACCTTTTTTTTTTTTTTACTTTCTCTCTCTAACTTTGGAGAAAATAATTGCCCCAACATGTAACTCTCTCTCTCTCTCTCTCTCTCTCTGTAACTTTGGAAAATATGGTTTTCCCAATATGCATTCTCTGTTTTATTCACACTTTTTCTCTCTACTTTTTTTCCTCTAACTTCGGAGAAATATTGCTGTCTCAATTTCCAAGGGTTGCTACTGCATGAATTGCCTATTAATGATTTATTTAATCCAGAAATAATGCATATGCAGGTTGATATTCATAAAACTCCACATATAGTCTAAAAAGCATGAACGAGTAGTTAAATGTCACATTTTCTAATGTTCGGTAAAAACACGACGTTCTTCTATTGTTCTCCATTAAAATTCTAGCTGAAATAGTAGCAAGGTAGACCT